TCTAATCCTTCAAACCGTAACATTGCTTCGGGTGAATTGACGCATAGCCCGTAGGCGTAAAAGCAAGTAACAGAACGACACTAAACTAAACGGAATCATAAACAGAAAAAAAACGGAGGCAGCCATAAGGACTGCCGACAAAAATGAAAACTCAATGATATATGCTTATACATGTATACAGGCTCCTACACTACGCGTCGCCTGCCTGGCTAACGCTCGCGCGCAATACGTCACGAACATGTCGAGATCATCGGTAACGCGAACCGAAAGTTTTCTCCCTATAAAATCGCTCAACGCGGCTAAAGAAGTTTTCATTCCAATAATCCTACCAATCCACTATTAAAATTAGAAAAACCTGGCAGAACTTGTGACCTTAAACGTGGAAAACGGTCAGTTCGAGGACTGGACTGCCAGGTCAACAACAATGTCAAATTATTGCTAGCGCCAATCTACGAGTACCTAGGGTGGCATTTATTGCAAACTAGCAATCCGCCCCGGCTTCCGATTTCTGGATGTCAACAAAAGCGCCACCTATCGGGTCCAATTGTGAATCTAAACCGTCCAGGAAGTGAATCTAAACCCACTTAGACACATACAATTTTTATTTTAACAAAATCTGCCCAGCCATTGTTGAGTTTTTTTGTGAGATTAACGTACGGCAGTAGATTTAATTTATATATGTATATAAATATAAAAAGAGTAGATTTATTTATTTATTTAATATTCTTTATTGAACACCATACATAAATTACAGAAATTATATATATAAAAGAAGTATGTATAGAATGCTGACAGCAATTTCTTCCAGACAACCAATGGACAGGATTGCACGAATATGACAAGGGCAGGGCAAATTGGTGTGATAGAGAAAAAAAAGAGGTAAAAAAGAACAAACAAATCAAACAAAATAGACAAATCTAAGGTAACAACACTAACACAACTAAGTTTATAAATTAAAAATATATAAAATCCAACTCACGTGAAAATCGTTTCCAATAAAAAATACAACATCATTGTCGTATTGTCAAACAGATCAAACACATATTGCTTTCTATATAGTTTGTGCATATTTCTTTGAAGGAAAATATTTTGACACAAGACACGTCACACTCAAACAAGTTTCAAAAACCGTAGACAGAGAAAATCAATTAGGATTCTCTGCTCTGCATCAAAAACGCTATCAGAATGCCAAATGTTGCCAAACTTTAGTGCCGTCGACATAACGAACTATAAACATGTTGTATAATGCTTTTGCATTATAATATGATAGGTTAATATATTATATAATATGATAATAAAACACGTAGCTTAGTTTATACGAGCATGCATAATCATTAAAAAAATGAATCTACGTGGTAGAGCCATGCTGCAGCTATATTATGGTTGTAGCACGAATGGGTCGGCTCGAACGGGGAAGGACCACTATCTCACAGAAAACCAGCGTAAAATAGCAGCTTAACGCTGCTGTGTTTCGTATGGTGAGTGTAGAGAACCGGAGACCCTTTTTACTGGCAAAGAGGCATTGCATCTTAGTCCTCACGGGTGACAACGCATCTGCATCTTGAGTCTTTATTAAGGATAGATGTAGATGTGTATGGGTCACAGTAACCACTTACCATCAGGTGGACCGTGTGCTTGTTTGTCACCCGATCCTATAAAAAAAAATATATAAAAGTGACTGAACTGGCGCAGTGGCTTAGCAATGTGTTACAGCGCTAAGGGCCGCGAGTTCGAATCCCGCACAGAACAAGTAATATTTGTATGGCCAATAAATAATTGTTCCGGGTCTGGATGTTTGTCCTTGTGCAATTTATGCTTGTAAACTGCCTCCACGATACAGGAGAAAATCCTGGTGTAACGTTTTATAAAAAAGAAAAAATGTCAATTGCAATTACAATATTGTTTCATAAAAAACATTTTCTGTTAAAATTATAGTGAAGTCTCTTGAGTCATGAAAATATAAATTAAAATGTGTCAACTACCATGTCCCTCGCTAGAGATTCGCAATATGGCAGGTTTGAAAGATGACCTTATCACAAAAATTGATAAGGGCGTGCTTCGATGATTTGGGCACGTTGAGCGAATGAGTGAAGACCGAATGGTGAAGAAAATATATAGCGTGAAAGTAAATATTAAAAGGTGTCGAGGTAGACCGAGACTAACTTTCGAAGACCATGTGAGCAAATTGCTCGAAGAGGGGAGGGTCAAGAGTACTCGAATACCTAGACGTGCATGTATGAAGAAGATAATGAATCTGAAAGAAGCGAAAGAGGTATGTAAGGATCGTGACACTTGGCGATCTGTTCTCTCTGGCTACCCCGTCAGGGATTGTGCGTGAAGATAAATAAGTACCATGTCCCGAGATCTAGGTTCAAGCAATTTCCGTGAATACTCGTAACTAGCTACGCTGCAGCTATATTAAGTATGTTTGTAGCACGAATGGGTCGGCTAGACCGGGTTAGGACTACGCTCTCGCAGAATACCAGCGTAAAATAGCAGCTTAGTGCTACTGTTTTTCGTATGGCAAGTGTAGAGAACCGAAGACCCTTTGTACTAGAAACGAAGAATTTCATCTTAGTCCTCCGGGTTGACGACAACCCGTCAGCATTTTGATCCTTAATAAATGTAGATGGCCATCCACGTATCATCAGACGAACTGTGTGCTCTTTTTTTATTATATGAAAAAAGCTCATTGTCGTAAACACAGTATGCCAGGAATCCTAATTCGATTGCCACCACTGCCAATGGAAGTTGCAATTTTTAAGTGCTGATTTAGCACGTACTCCGCATTTAAACATAGGAACACTTCGTGGAGAAACCTACATGCCTGAATGGAAAAAAATTCGAAGACGTGTAAAGTCCACCAACAAACACTAACCGTCCATAGACGTCTCAGAAATGAGAGAACTGTGCCCAGCAGTGAGACGTATACCTATACATTTTACTTTACTGTTACTTTACTACCCATTACTCAAGCGTAACGCGGACATTATTAAGTTTAATGTCAAGTAAGTAAATAAAATCGGCGCCAAAAACTTTTGGAATGTCACACATGTTTTGTGCCTAAAAGCACAAAAGCACATAGACGTATCATACATGACGAGACGTTTTAACATACAACCTAGATATTCTAAAAATACAATCATTAGAAATTATAGATGGAGTGACACGCAATTAAAAGATCTTTATCCAATTAATCCTATGTACAGGTGGATTCAATGTGTGCAGAAGCCCAGATGCCAATCTCGTATTTGTACAACATGTAACAAAAACCCTGTGGTTCCCGTAAAGTACGTTATCAGGATCAGTATTCAAACCTCTAGAAATAACTTTTTTTAAACTCGACCATATTTTTTTGATTTTATTAAAAAAAAATTTAATGTAGATTTATTACCTCTTACTGACACTAGGCGATGCTAAAGCTAAGTAAAGTGGGGTCTTTGACAATCCTCTTACTCCCCAGACAATGCAGAGGTAATAAAACCAAATACAATTTGCATACAATTTTTTTAATACACATATTATATAAGATGCATATTGTATAAGATGTAAAACATCCAATCCGCGATGAACAGCATTTTTAAAAAGTAGGAGACGTCTGATATCATGCTTGCTAAGTGTGATTACGAAAACTTTTCCAGTAGTGGGAGTTGACTTTTTTATATAGGCTCAAGAATGCAAGGGAAAATGTATTTGTCACATGGGGCGGGATTCCTAGCCCTATTTTACCAGTTACGTTAAGTAGTATTTTAAGGGTACCTTAGTACATTAGTCCAGAAAAACACTGCAAAATAATACTAACAACAATTATCAAAACATCGATAACATAAGTTCGTACATCACTAGACGAAATTACTATTCGTTTAGAAACCGCAACTTGCGTAGCGAACCGAAAGGCTGGCTTACAATTACAGTGCCCGATTCAAGTAGATGACAAAAGCGGCCAATATATTCCGTACAAACCATAGATAAATAAATATATAGCAAGCTACAAACCATCGATCACTGAGAGCCGTGGTAGCTCAGATTATTAGCGCTCGTTGTAAGTTTCACAGTACGCAAACAACCCAGGTTCGATCTCCGCCGGCACCAATGAAATTGTTAATTATTGCAATTTTAAGTGCTGATTTACCACATGCTCCGTGGTGAAGGAAAACATCTTGAGGAAACCTGCATGTCTGAGAATAGAATAGAATAGAATAGAATGATTTTTATTCAATATGGATTATTACATAATACTTATTGAAAGTCATTATTTTATTTACCACTGGTTCGGAAAATACCTCTGGCCTGGGAAGAACCAGCAAGAAACCCAGCGGGACTTTTTTTTTTAAACATAATTTCACTTAACAATAATTTTGTTTATACGAAAAATAAAATAAAGAGAAATACGAGAAATAAAAAAAATATATCTCGAAGACATGTGAAGTTCGCCAACACGCATTGGGGCAGCGCGGCAGTCATTTCCTTGCCCTAAAACCATCTCAGAAATGAGAGGAGGCTTGTGCCCAGTAGTGGGACGTATATAGGCTGCAACTTTACTTTACATCGATCACTAATAAATAAAAACTCACTAATAAAAATCTAGATACACAATCCCATATATATATATATATATATATATATATATATATATATATATATATATATATATATATATAATATGTATACATATATATATAATATATATGTATATATATACATATACATATATAATATATATATATATATATATATATATATATATATGTATATGTATATATATTATATATCAGTTTTTTTTGCCTTACATCATTAAACGGTAAAAATAAGATGTGTAGTGTTATTTTTACCTTTTAAAAATTGGTGGAAAAACATGGCCGTCTTAATATAATATGATGACCCCATGACAACTGATTTGGGGCCTTTTAAAAGGCCTACACAACTTAATATATTATTGTATAAAATTTTAATGGTTATTAAAGTTTACTAAGATAGGTACTCTTTTAATAATATAATACCTTGCCTTTCTCTGTCCTCTTGCTCCAAATGACCTCGTAATGAAGACGGAACTGAATAAAAGTAAAAGTAACGCCATGATTGAATTTAAATACGTAATCAAAATTAATACCTTATTGATAATTCTACCAACTTAGTAGCTTTTGGTGAGAAAGGTAACATCACCTTAATCTGTACAAATAAATAAGTTTTGGCGGGAAATTGACCGGCGGCGGTTTGCTGCTCCTGTATTATTGTTTAAATAATGGTTTGAAGTGGACTTTGATATGTAAAAGTGTTGCGATTTTGTGTATTAAGTGTCTACGCATGTGAACTATTAGTGGAAACAGTGAAACAAGTGCTCTGATGGTGATGGATTCTCAAGATAAGTTGTTTGTTTGCATAGGCACCTTTAGATACCATCGCCAACTATCAGCTGTCTGCTGGATCAAGTTGCCGCCAAAATCTCCCAAGAACTGCACAATGTGACGCATCAACATATTGTGAAGCAGTATACTATGAAGGAGTGGGGAAATTACAATAAACCGAATAAAAATACTTAAGACTTGGCCTAAAGGTCTAGATACCAGGCCATAAACTCCAAAAAAAAATACAAATAAATAAAATTAAGTGTCAGCTTTTGAACAGCTTTTTGCTGAATGCATATGAAAGTATAAACGATACATATAACAAAAAAAAAACAATTTTTTTTAATTAAACATGGACGAAGTCGCGGGAAACACCTAGTAAAAATCACGCATCACGATGTTCGTTCACGCTAATCTCCGAAACTGCTTAACAGATTTTAATAAAATTTTGTAAATGTGCACTGCTTGGTCCAACTTGAGAGATTGAATAGTTTTATCCTTCTAAGTGACCCTCAATAATTTCATTCGAATTAAAAGATTTGTATAGGACAAAAGGTCGCGGAAAGGGCAGAACGTCTGCCTGGCCCGCTAGTATTATATAAAAAAAGACCAAGTAGGTACCTATAAAAACACAAAGGTCAATATCGTAAGCCTTTCCATATTTATGTTTAGTTAAATATAAGCAAAAGGTCAGTATAATCATAATTCAACCATGAATGAAGCAAGGGTACCCCGATCGAATGATATTAATGTTTCTGTTCTCTTAAAATCGTCGGTACTCAATTGTACTGTTTTTTTTAAGTGTGTTACCTCATAACTTTTTACTGGTTGGACCGATTTCGATGATTCTTTTTTTATTTAAAAGCTGGTGCTTCACACGTGGTCGCATATAAATTTGATGAAGGTCTGACTAATAGTTGTTGAGTTATTCTTAATACTTTATATTGAAGTCGGTTGTACATTTTTTTTTATTTTACTTGTATACCCTAAGTTTATTAGCCCTTTTAGTCACGGGCACAGACATTATTGATAATAATATATAGATAGTTTATTTGTATCATTGGTACAGAATTTAAAACAATTAACAATTATGTTGTTTTACCGCTTTTTTAAAAACATCACACAATAATCATTCATTCGTTCATTAATATTTATAAAAAAACTGGCGATCCGCCCCGTATTAGCACGGGTGATTTCTAGATCTCGACAACCGCGCCACCTACCGGGTCCAATTGTGAATCGTTTAGATCATCCAGGGACCCACTCAAACACACGCAAAAAATAATAAGGGCTAATAATATATATATATATATATATATATATATATAAATGGAAATTTGGAATAGGGCAACGGAACCCAAGGGGCCAGCAGTTGGCCGACTTCATGGAGAAAGAGGGACTCTTTATGATGAACTCTTTCTTCCAGAAGCGGCCCCACAGGAAGTGGCCTGGTCGAGCCCCGACGGTTCGACAAAAAATGAGATTGACTTCATTATGACGACCAGACGACAACTGTTCAGTGATGTCTCAGTGATCGCGAGGGTGAAAACCGGCAGCGATCACCGAATGGTTAGAGGCACACTGAACCTAAACGTTAAGTTGGAGAGGTCTCGTCTAATGAAGTCAACGCTCCGTCCCCCTCGTGCTCTAATCCAAAGTCCCGAAACCTTTCAGCTCGAGTTACAAAACCGTTTTCAGTGCCTAGAAGACTGCAATGAAGTGGACGATTTGAATGACAAGCTCGTGGAAACTGTCCATGCGGTCGGGGCTAAGTTCTGCAAGACCCGCCGCAGAAGAACACAAAAACTCTCCGATCACACTCTTAATCTCATGGCTGTTAGACGGGAGATGAAGCTACATTCTTCAACAGATTTGACAGCATACAGGCAACTGAACAGACAGATCTCCAAATGCATGCGGCGGGACTTACGCAACTTCAATACAGCTCGTATTGAAGAAGCGATCGAGCGGAACCAAGGCTCCAAAGTCTTTGCCAGAGATCTGTCTGCCAGAAAGAGCCAACTGTCAAAGCTGAAGACCGAATGTGGCAGCATCGTTTCCGGGGCACCTGAGATTTTGAGTGAGATTGAGAGGTTCTATGGGCAGCTGTACACGTCATCGTTGGAGCCACACGCAAGTGTGAGTAACGATCCAAGAGCGAGTCTTATCCGACATTATTCCGATGATATCCCGGACGTCAGTCTGAGCGAGATTAGAATGGCTCTCCAGTACCCTAAAAACGGCAAGGCCCCAGGCGAGGATGGAATTACAGCGGAGCTTCTGAAAGCGGGTGGAAAACCGGTACTTGAAGTCCTTCAGAAGCTCTTTAATTCCGTCCTCCATGGTGGCATTACACCGGAGGCGTGGAGCAGAAGTGCGGTGGTCTTGTTCTTCAAGAAAGGCGACAACGCTCTCTTGAAGAACTACAGATCGATTTCCCTTCTGAGCCGCGTCTACGTGCTGTTTTCGAGAGTCATTACGAATCGTCTCGCGCGCAGACTTGACGACCTCCAGCCTCCCGAACAAGCCGGTTTCCGAAAAGGCTTTAGCACCATAGACCACATACATACCCTTCGGCAAATTGTACAGAAGTTCGAGGAGTACAATTTGCCACTATGTCTGGCGTATGTGGACTATGAGAAAGCCTTTGATTCCGTCGAAATTTGGGCGGTGCTGCAGTCCCTTCAGCGATGGCAAGTTGACTGTCGGTATATCGAAGTGTTGAAGTGCTTGTACAGTAGGGCTACGATGGCTATCCGAGTACAGAACCAGAGTACGAAACCTATCCAATTGCAGAGAGGTGTAAGACAGGGTGACGTCATATCCCCGAAACTCTTTACCGCTGCATTGGAAGATGTTTTCAAGCTTCTAGACTGGAAAGGATACGGTATCAACATCAATGGCGAGTACATCACTCACCTTCGATTTGCCGACGATATAGTCCTTATGGCAGAATCGCTGGAGGACCTAAGCACTATGCTCAATGACCTCAATAGTTTTTCCCAACGGATAGGTCTTAAGATGAACATGGATAAAACAAAGATCATGTTTAATGTCCATGTCACACCTATGCCGGTAGTTGTTGGGAACACTAAGCTCGAAGTTGTTGACGAGTATGTTTACCTGGGACAAATAGTCCGACTAGGTAAGTCCAACGTCGACCGAGAGGTCAATCGACGGATTCAACTCGGTTGGGCAGCGTTCGGGAAATTACGGCACATCTTCTCGTCAGGTATACCTCAAAACTTGAAAACGAAACTGTACACCCAGTGCGTGTTGCCAGTGATGACATACGGAACTGAGACGTGGTCCTTCACTGCTGGCCGTATGAGGAAGCTCAAGGTCGCTCAGCGAGCTATGGAGAGGGCTATGCTCGGAGTTTCTCTGCGTGATAAACTCAGAAATGAGGATATCCGCAGTAGAACCAGAGTGACCGACATAGCCCAACGGATTAGTAAGCTGAAGTGGCAGTGGGCCGGCCATATAGCTCGAAGAACCGACAACCGATGGGGAAGAAAGGTTCTCGAGTGGCAGTCTCGTACCGGCAGGCGAAGTGTAGGGCGTCCCCCCACTAGATGGAGTGACGACCTGGTAAGATATGCAGGAAGTCGATGGATGCAGGTGGCTCAGGACCGTGCTTTGTGGCATTCTTTGGGGGAGGCCTATGTTCAGCAGTGGACTTGTGAAGGGCTGTAATGATGATGATGATATAGATGTAGATTTGTCACCGTGCAATTTTCAGAGGCCTGGTTCATATCGCCTGGCAAGCAGATGATTATAAAAAATCGTCCCTACTATGTGAGAGGTCCATATCGAACAGTGGATAGACTGTAAAGGAAAGAATTTTAGAGATTTATCAAGATAATTTCGCTGGGAACTAAATTTATTTGACCCATTCTCATTTTAGAACTTAGCCGAAGGGAGAAATAGGTTGCTCAAATATTTTTCGACTTAGGTACTTCGGGTATACTCTGACGACTTAGGTAATTCGGATATACTCTAAGAATAAGACTCTTAAAACTTTTTTTTACGTGGTAGAGCCATGCTGCAGCTATATTAATAGTATAGTTGTAGCACGAATGGGTCGGCTCGACCAGGGAAGGACCACGCTCTCACAGAATACCAGCGTCAAATAGCAGCTTAATGCTGATGTGTTTCGTATGGTGAGTGTAGAGAACCGGAGAACCATTTTACTGGAAAAGAGGCATTCTATCTCCGTCCTCAAGGCTGACAACGCATCTGCATTTTAATTCACAAACGAGGATAGATGCAGATGTCTATGGGCCACAGCAACCACTTACCATCAGGTGGACTGTGTGCTCGTTTGTCACCTTAATTCTAAAAAAAAAAAATATTTTTAAATAACATGTTTGAAGCGCCTATGGTCACGGGGAATCCCTCCGCGAAGGGTGCTGCATAGCATCCAAAACGTTGGGAATTAAAATTGAGCAAAATTAAACACTATAAAATCTGCTTCAACGAGAGGGTATACTGTGTAAGTTGAAATTGTCCAGCGGGAGAATGGAAAACTCAAGAAATGTACGAGGTTTTTTTTCTCTATAGAATAAGGGTGCAAGCAAGCATACAGAAGCAAGAGCATCGCCAGAGGGGGGGGGGGGGGTTGCCCCCCACTCTTAGAAGCTCACAAAATGTAGTCAAACGCAAAGCAACCAGTCTTATTTATTGTACAGTCAAGAGTACTCGCGGAGCTTTATCTGCTCCTAGTAACAAT